GGATCGTGTAGCCGATACGATCCCATTAGGTTCGTTTACCATTTGCGAACGGTGGTGCCGGCTAAAGCGTTAAGTATCCATTTGCACGATTGATTCCGTCGTTTCGAACGGGCAAGAAAATTCATTCGTCGAACGAACCGCGAGAATAAATCGCTCGTTATCGCGATACAGATAATCGAGTAATTCGGTATTGCTCGAATTCGAATCGCGCGGCATTTTCGAGGGAAAAATCATTTTTCGATTTTCGAAGTGGTTCCGCGCGATCGAAACGGCCGGTGGAGGCTCGGAAAGCAGTCCCCGAGGAAGGGTGGAAATTCGCTGTCCTCGCGGCAGGAAATCGAATCGATTAACATGCCGGCTAACGAGCTGTCGATCAAGTCGACCAGCCCGATTCGCGGGCCCTCGCAAGCCTGTGTCCTTCTTACCGAGCGGACGGGCACGAAGAAAGCTGCGGCCATTGTATCGATACCTGGAAAACGAGTGCGGGTAAACAGACCGCGGATGAACGCCGGAGAACCGAGGAATATTCCAGTCATGCGTCACGGGGTTAAGGAGAGGGCGTGCTGGCCGCATTGATTTACGTAGAAGAGGACAGGACGTCGAGAGGGAAGGCCTGGAGAGGGCCAAGAGGGGTGGGACACGCGCGAAGAGAGAACGAGAGGAACAGGTAGAGAGAAAGGGAGTCGCAGAATCCGAAGCCACGTAATCGGAATAGTCGATTCCATCCCCCTTACCTCTGCAGCCGGCTCCGTTTCTCTCTTCCTTCTCCTCCTCCATGTCAGATCCATCCTCTGCTCGGGTCCTCCCTTCGCCAGGAGGCTGTCTCCCTTTCCTGCACCCCCTTGGTCGCGTGGATACGTGGTCGAACCACCGCGAGGATACCGTATAATTATCGGATGCCAGGTAACTCGAACGCTCTCGGCCGGTTTTAATTGGCCAATTATCGTGGCGCGAATAGAAGTGGTGCCGTCGGTCCAGATAGGCGTGAAACTTTTGGGGTGGCCGGCGTACAACGAGCGACAACACAGCGCGACTTTCCTCTCTGACGAGTATCTTTTGGCATCGTTGGCCCTGCTAGGGGCTAGCTCGCAGGGAAGATCGAGGCCGACGCTATACGTTTTCGTTCTCCGCGCGCACGTATGTGCACACGTACACGTACGAGTACGGATGCCCGTGACGGGATAGAGCGACGTGCGTGTGCGTGTGTGGACGCGAGCGAACCGTGGATCGGGATCAGAATCGGGAGCACGAACGGGCGCAAATTGGTCACGGCTGGTCTGTTCGATCTCCGTTTCAAACTACCCCCTTCGTCCCCCTACGGTTCCACCTTCCATCGCCCCTTCTCGCTTTCACCTATCGTCTCTTATTCTATATTTACGTCTTTCTCTGCCGACTCGTCCTCCGGTATCGTCCCGTCTTTGTCCCCGCTCACCCACTCTCTATCGATCTATCCTGCTCTAGCACCCGCGCACCCTATCGCACCCTCTCGCTCCGCTCCTCCTTTTGCCGGTCTAGCCGTCTATCTATCCACCTAGCTTGCTCCTCGACTCGTGCACCGTTTCAGAACTATTAGGAACGCTCGCCTAAACCCACATCGCTTTGCCAGGTAGGGTAATCCCGGGACGCAGTGTGCTCACCTGCGACCTCGCGACCCCCTCGCCGCACGTCCCGTGCTTAACAACCTGTTCATTCTTTTCGCTGGCCGAACGAACCATCATCGGGATGATAAAACGAGCTTGAAAGTCGCACGTCGAGCGTGACGCTATTCTCTGCAGCTTACACAAGCTCTCTTTGTGTTTCTCCATTTGTCGCGTAAGGAAGCTCTCGTGACGGGAGACGCTTAAAAGGAGCAACAGCGAACGAAGCAGCAGCGGGCACGTGCGGAATGGCGAGCAGCGGCCGCTGCTCGGCTACATTGTCGGTGTAAATTTTTAATTAAGCTTTGGTGGCCGACTGCAAATTGAGCTGCAGCCGGCGCGCCGGCATTCAATGCAGTAAATGCACCGTGCACGCCGTACGTGTCATTTACGAATTAAATTAATTTGTTAGTTCTTATGCGGTGGCCGGGCGAGCCGGGCCGAAATAAATTTACGATAATGCTCATTAGCCGGGCGCGGCGAGCGCCGCGCGAAAATTAGTCCGGCCGCCAACTACCAGCCCCTGGAAAACCATTGCCCGCCGTGCCAGCGCCGTTCCAGCGCCCCGGCGCCGAAAGCGATGCGATTACGCGATTCCCGCTGCGCCTCCAACATCTGTACGACCCAAGTAAAACTCGACCGATAAAGCGTAGGATTATAAATATTTCATCTGCTTCGTTATGCTATCGATTCGCGGCGCGAGTGCCAACCCACGGCCTATTATTACAGCTTATTAACGAAGGATCGGCTTTTCAGCCGCTCAACTCGCGTTTCAGAGTACTCGCGAGTGTACTCCGAACGTTTAACCTCCTCGATACGGAACGATCGTAATTGCCCGTCACCCGATTTCCAGCGAGCGCTCTCTTTCCCGTGTTTGTTCGATGAATTAAGGTTCACGGATCTTCGTTTAGAATTCTTCCGAGTTCGTTCGGGGAATGGCGTCCAGAAAGCGTGCAGCTGATTCGGTCATTGGGAAATTCGTAAACGTATTACTCCTGCGGGATTGGAACAGGATCTTCGGAGTCGAAGACGTCGTCTTGGTTCGGCGATCGATATCGGATTCTCGGAGATTACGCAATTTTGATGGAAACGGATCGGACGCGGACGGTCCCCCGGGTGGGTTAATTGGACCCTTAGCTCCGTTTGCGTAACTTTTCCGTCGTCGTCGATCAAGCTATTAATACGACGGATCACGACCGGATCTCTCTTGATCGGTCATCGAATGATCCACGCCGATCAGCTCGGTAGAGAAGCTTCCGCGTGTCTCGCCAATTTCGTGGAAAGAATCGATCATCGCTGGCAGAGCAGCGGCGTCAATCTCGTCGAACGATTGGGCCCGAGCTAATTCGACGATGATCGGAGGGAAGCTTCGAACGCGAACGGCAAACAAGGCAGGACGAACAGTGCGGCAAATCGGCGGGGAAAGAAGATGAAAAATCGCGACGCGAGGGTAGCGAGAAAGACAGAAAGCGAAAGCGAGAGAGAGAGAAAGAGAGAGAGAGAGAGAGAGAGAGAGGGGGTGTACAGAGGACAAAGCAGGAGAGGGTGATTGGAGGAGAGGTAGGGCTCGGTATTGCAGGCTCATCCGCCGGTTACGTTCGATTGGCTGGCAGGGCGGTAGGCCAGCAATTACCTAAATGGTCGGGTAAACAATATCCGTGCGCCGAGTTAAGAGCGGCGGCGGTAGCAGCAACAGCACCAGCACTACCAGCACCGGGAACGGCAACAGTAGCAGCGGCAGCAGTAGCAGGTTCCTTTATCCGTCGGTCGGTCGGTCGACCGGTCGGTCGGCTAGCCAACCGTATAGTATTGGTCCTGGTTTGCTCTCGCCTCCACCCTCGGCCAAAGGGAACCATCGACGATGGACGAAGGAGCGAAAGAGAAAGGAAAAGAGAATCTCCGTGGACGTATATACGTGTACGTGTATACGTGCACATACGTCTCTGGCTGTTCGTGTGCACGGATATACGTAGAGAAGCAGAGAGAGAGAGAGAGAGAGAGAGAGAGTCAGAGATACCCACCATAGCCAGCACGATTATACTCCCGGCACGATTACTGTACACAACGATCCTGGAGGCGCACCACGCGCCCCGCCCCCGCCGGCGAACACACCAAGATCATCGACAAACCCGGCAGCGTTTCACGATCACGAATACCGGGAGCGAGTAGAGCGTGCAACTCCTCCACACATCCTCCGGGAAACGTTGAACGATGGCAACGTGCGTGGAGGGAAAAGCGTTCCTCCATCGACAGCGTCGTCGGCGGCGGCGGCGGCGGCGGCGGCGGCGGTGGTGGTTAAATCAAAGACAAACCACTTTAGCCGGTCGGATCGCGGAACGGGCGGAGAGTGGGGTGAGAGTGGGCCGGATAGAACGGCAGGGAGGGAGGAAAGGTAGACTCTGTGTGTACATACCCGAGTATCTGGCGAAAGCTCGCTCGTGGGGCCGCGAAACGTCTGCACGCGGCTCCGTTTCGTGTTCGTGCCGCGTCCATTCAGTCCCGATGCCGATGTCTGAGTACGTCTTGGTGATCGTGTTCGTCCGCGCGCACGCGAACCCACACACGAACGCCGCGGATCGCCCTGACACCCACCACGAACAAGGGGTAGCACGTGTGTGCGCGCAACCCCCGCGAACGCAGACGTGCACGCCCCTAGAACGACGCCGCGGCTCTCTGGTAAGCCAGCAGGGGTTGGACACGCCCATTCGGGGCGGAACGACACCCCACCAGAGGGTTCGCAGCTTTCCGCTGCGACTACGTTCCTACGACGGTTCTTCGCTACTAATAATACGCCGATATACCACCTATTCAGCCACCATGGCTCTACGTGGAAGTCCCGAGAGCAGCTTTTACGGGACGCGCGCGGCTTCTGCCTACCAAAGACACTGCTAATCGCGCGACCGACCACGCTGATCGCTTGGATCTCCGGCGCCACGATTTCTCGCTTCCGCCCTTCGTCGCTCGCACGTCGCGCGTCGTTCCTCGCCCTCGTCGTCGTCGTCGTCGTCGTCGTCGTCGTCGTGCGCGGAACAGTTCGGTGAACAAACTCGAGGCGTGACAATCAGGATCACCTGATCGGGACCATATATATCTGTGTTTCTTCGAGGAGCAATCTCGGAAAATCGGGTGTGGAGGTTCGAGGATCAGTGCGATGAACCGGTAAGCAAGCCGGGATGTGATGATTCTGTACACGGATCTGTCATCGATGTGAGTGATGTCTCGCGGAATCGGGGTGTCAGCCCGCGACGCTGATTGAGCAACGACGCGAGTGTGCAGGAGATTCGGCGCCGGAGAAGTGTTATCCAGCAACGGTACGGCATGGAGGATCGAGAGGTGAGGTAAAGAGGTGTAACCGCGAGGGTTATGTGGAGGATGCAGGAAGGCAGGACCGTGTCGCCTTTAGGACCGGTCGTCCTACCGCGGGAGGAAGCGGATATGCGTGCCGGGCTGTCGCTGCCGCCTCAAGAAAGGAGGCACGTGTTGCTCCACGTACGCACCAGCGAGCCTTTTGTACGCTACGACAACGTGCGTCAACAGCACTCGCCGTCGACCTCGCCGATCCTGCGGCCCGTCGACAGGGACCAGTTCCATTGCGAGATGGACGCGCCGTCGACCAAGGAGAAGAGGATAGACGCCGAGGTCGACGAGGAAGAGGAGCAGGACGAGGAGGAGGAGGAGGACGGGGATCACGAGAGAAACGCCTCGACCAGGAGGAACATCGTCGAGGACGAGGAGGAGGACGAGGAGCAGGAGGAAGAGGAGGAGGAAGTGCATCCTGGGAGTAGAAACGGCAACTACCAGGAGGACGAGGAAGTCGAGGTGGACGTTTGCCGAGACGAGGTGGACGAGAGCAACCCCAGTAGCCCCGTAGACCTGACCGCGCCTTCGTCCAGGGGTGCCGGGTCCGATCAGTTCCTTAACCCGTTCGCGAACAGAGGCGTGCATCCTTTCTCGTGTGTTCAGACCGGTGGACAAACCGCTGGCCACGGGACTCCTGTGTACATATCCGCTCACGCCGCCGCTGCTTCCACGGGGATGACCGTATGCACTTCCGAGAACGCGGCTCGAACCACCGGCACGTCCATCGGCAGCATCACCACGACCGCCAGCACCGTGCAGGCCAACAAACGGTGCTTGGCCTTCTCGGTGGAGAATATCTTGGACCCCAACAAGTTCACCGGCGGCCGCGTCGTGCACAGTCGCGTTCAGCACCGACGACATCGGCGGGCCGACAGCGTCCACGAAGGTGATTAGTCCTGGTGGATATTTCCTGGTTTTATTCCAGCCCCGCGAGCCAAGGAATAACGCTTTCGTTCATCCGTCCACCATTTTACAGCGAGGCTAATTTTTCGAGAATTTTGAAAATTCAAACGCGTCGTTTAATCGGCGATACGAGGAAGCTGTCAATCGGTTCTACGTATTTCCAGGGATTGATAGATTCGAGTCGGACCCGGCGTTAATTTTCGCCAACTTCAGTGGAAGAAGCCGGTCCACCACAGACGCGATTTAGCATCGCGCTCGGGCATGAATTTCACGCGAAAACGCCGTCGCGGCCTATTAATCCGGCGAATCTGTCGCGTTCGAGTGACTCGCAAAAGTCTCCTAATCCCGTGGGCTTTTTCTCCGCGAGGCTGCGGCTCGCATGTTTATTGCTTCCTCCTTACTCGCGCGGGGCTTCCTCGCTCGTAACCGTTCGCCAAAACACGGCCCAGCGTTCGCTCCTTTTTTCTCTGTGGAACATATGGGCCTCGTCTCCCGCGTGATCCCATGATCTTGAACGTGATTTTTTCGTCTTCGGAGCCGGTGCATCTCTGCCTCTCCGAGCAGCCTCGTGGCTCCTGCTGTCTCGCTTCTTCCTCGTTCTAACTTTAGACGCTAGAAGGATGGCTTGTTCCCCGTGCGTCGTGCAATTTCGCTCGTTTCAGAGTTATTTGCGTGTACGGGGATTCCGACAAAAGTGATGATGTAGACGCGTTACTGGGAACACGGGAACCAGACCGGCCGAACGTCGTCGTTAATGCCTCTTCTAATGCCATTCCAGCGCCACTCGTTTTCCCCCCCGTTCGTTCGTTTTCCACTCGTTTCCTAATCGGTCACGCAGCGAGGGTAAACACCTGCGTCGAACTTGATTTTCCGTTCCACGGAGTCTATCCGGTTTATTAAAATCGCTGGCCGCGAAGCGATCTAATCCGAAGATCGGGCATCTGCCGCGGAGGGCTTATCAGCCCTCGGTGATCGAATCGGCGCGCGCGGCATCCCAATTTCACAGTTGACTTTCGAATTTAATGGAGTCTGGCGGACAGATAAGAGGAAGAAGCCGGGCGCCGATAACGGGAACAGAGGAACCGACCGACGAAGGGGGTGAAACGACGTAGAAACAGAGGAAAGGAACCCGACGCGGGTCGACGAGGGGGTGGCCGTAGACCCGGAGAGGGGGTTCGCGAGGGTGGCCTGTCGGAGCGTGACAAATTGCTCCGCTAATCTGCGTTAACCAGTCCTTGAACCCCATCATTATCGTCCCTTTATCCCGCTACGGGACACTGGCTGCAAACGAAATCAACCGACGCTGTCGACCGATGCGTCTTCGATCTTCGGGAATGGAAAAAGATGTCGGGATGGACGAGCGACGGACAGGGGGTTGCGACGGGGGGTGAAAGGAGGAGAGATATAGCTTCTCGAAGGATCGATCGCGTCGATGAAATCGGGATTACGCGATTCTCGGGTCATCCATCTTCCAGGGTGGTCAGGGCGCCCATTAAAAGTGCATCAAAGCCAGCCGGCCGATCGGTGAAATCCGTTTCGACTGCTGCTAGCGGCGAACGGTGCCCGCCCCCACGGCAAATCCGGCGACGGAATAATATCGTCGGTTGTTATGATAATCGCGCAGCATCGCGGCGTATCGCGTCGCATCGCGCCAAGCCGCCCAGAAAATTGGCTCTTCTGCATCATAATGACTTCTCTCTCTCCCTCTGCCTCGTCGCCCCACGTTTCGTCCCCCCTTTCGCGCGCGCCGCCGATCGTCACAGGAGGATCTCATCCCCCCAGACCCGCCGATTCGAAATCTCGGATTTTCCGCTAGATTTCTGCAAAAAATTCTAATTACCTCTGGCCAACACGCAGGCGTACACCGTTAAACGCTCCTTTCCGTGTCTTTCCTATCGGCACCGAGCAGATGATATCTCCGGCGCTCGTTAAGGGAAGGATTCCGGCACTGCGCGGACCAGGCATTGTTCCGGGCCACGGACGCGTGGCATTGTTCCCGGTTCGCGAAATAATATGATAATTGCCCGTATTTTCTTGCCGCGTTCTCCCGCGATAACGGCAACGCGCGTGCAATTTGTGGGCACTCTAAAGAATACCGGGCCTATCTTCGGAAGATAGAATTCGAAAGATCCGCTCGCTGGACAATGGAGCGTGACGCAGAGGACTCGTTTAACACGCTAGATAATTAGACTGCAGTCGAGGCGAGGAATCGCAGCGAGGCCCCGTGTTTAGATCACCGCTGGTAAAAGCAATTTCGTCCCCCTATTGGATCAATCACCGCCACCACGATATTTCCACCCCGTAGTTTTAGACACGTGACCATATGTCTCCGCGTTTATCTTTACGACACCTATGTACCGAGAATCGGCACGATTATTCAACTCTCCGCCGTCTATAATTGGCAGTCGAAACGCAAACATTGGCCGCGTTCGATCGGATCGATCGCGATCAATTTCGTCGTTTATCTTTCCCGGTTATTGCTGGCCGGGGTTCGCGACGATCCTCGGCTTCCATCCAAGAGACACGTTTCGTCCTCTTCGTCAACGTTGTCCGAGGGTTGCTCGCGTACTCCCGCGTACTCGCTGTCAAACGCTGTCATTGTGCTTAATGAGGAAAACCGAAATAAGTGCTCCTGACTGTGCCGCTGTCCCATGTGTACCCTTACCGTACCCCCTAGGGAGACTCAACCCCCGATCGGTTCTCCCGTGATCGTGCCTAACGAAGAATATCTAAACGAGATAAATGGTTGCAGCGATGGCAGTGTCGCTATGAAACGTCGATAAACGCGATAAGGGAACTCGTGGATGCGTGCGAGGTTAATTTCCCGAGACGCTTTATAGCCGATGATCGACCCGATCGTCGGAGACAATGGAGACAATGGATAACTGGATCGAAACGGAGCTGAAAAATTCACAGTTCTAGCCAGAGAACGAGTTAACCCGCGAACACGGCTGGTCAGCGTGGAAAACTCAGCAGCAGCTGGTGGCTAGAGACGACCGGTGAAAAGAGACGATCGGGGAACAATATAAATTACGCAATTGAATTAGACGCAATCAATCGGCACACGCGTGTACGGTAAAAGAGAGAGAGAGAGAGAGAAGGGGAGAGTATGTAGCCTGCGGCTTACGGTGTGGAGCTGAGAGATACGAGGACGCTGGCGGAAATAGGCAAAGAAAGAGGAAGCGGAGGAAGAAGAGAGAGGTGGTAGCCGGTCGGCGGCCTGTACGACGGGGCAAGAACGATCGCGCGTTAACGAGATACAAATCCCATTACGGCGTAAACCTTCTCGATCCGTCGCCCCCTACGGACTTCCAACCCCCAGGCACAGTGCTAGGCTACGGGCTATGGGCCACGAGCCACGCCAATTCGGATAAAGTTCCAGAGTTTCTCTCTCTCTCTCTCTCTCTCTGTCTCGCGATCCTCGTCTCCTCTTTTTCCTTCGCTCTCGTGTCTTCCTCTCCACCGATGCTCCTGTCCTCTCCTTCCGTCTCTTTCAATCCCGCCACACCGCCACCCTCTCTCTTTCTGTCTCTGGTTTTATCCGGAAACCTATCCCACCCCCTCTCCGGCCTCCAGGGGCGCCCCAGCCTCCACGGACCAGAGCCAGGGAATATCTGTCCCCGGGACATCTGCGTGCTGATTGAATCTCCAATCTCCTCTCTCATTGAGCGAACGATTGGCCGCTCTTTCTCTTTCCATCGTTCCAGGCGGCCGGCTGGCCGGTTCCTCTCTCCCGGTTTCGCGCGTTTCAATCGTTTGTCGGCTGGTGAGGTCGGTTGGTTGGTCGGTCGGTCGGTCGGTCGGTCCCGATGGCTGACCCATCGTCGGAATATCTTGCGGAGTACCTTTTCGCGATTACGGTGTCTCGGGCAAACAGAAATTAAATTAAACGCGGCCCGATATGCGGGCCAGCTTTTGCGGCCGCGCCGACGACACGCTCGTTAAACTGATTGCCGTGGAACGTTCCACGCGCGCGTTTCCAGCCCCCCGTCACTGCGGTCTCGCGCTCGCGGTGACAGGCTAAAGGGTTCCACCGTGCGCCAAGGGGAGAGTGCGATTTCGTTCTACTCGCCCGGGATATTTTCCGACGACTACGCGTCGGGATGGTCGTTTTCGTTTTCCCGTGTAACGCAGCGTCGAATTCGAACGCCAGCGTCGCGACGTGTCTTCCGCTAGGGTGTCTGGACTGCTAGGGCAGGGTGCGAAACACAGCGGTCGGGGTCGCGTTACCGCTTTGTCATAGGTAAACCGACACCCGCGGCGCAATTTTATCCCCCGTCGCGTAATCAATTTTCGTCACGCAACACCGTATCGCTTTCCTTGCCACGGTAATCCTCTGATCCTCTGCTGTTATTACTATTTTCAGATGGCGACTCGCGGGGCGAGTTCGCCTGCGGCAGCGGCCAGGAGGACGAAGAGGGCACACCGGACACGGGGATGGAGGACATGGACGAGGACCCGGACGAAGAGGACGAAGACGAGGACGTGGAGATGAGGGTGACGGACCAGGAGTCCTCGAACGCTGGCCGGGAGAGCAGTACCGCCGCCGCGAGCAACGTTCCCTCGTCGAACTGCAAGAAACGACAGTCCTCCTCCTCCTCCTCGTCGTCCAGCAGCGTCCAGGCCCAGGGTTGTCAGGGCCAGAACCAAACCGGCCAGAACGGCACCAGTGGTGGCGGTGGCACAGGCGGCAAACCCAGAAGAGCCAGGACGGCGTTCACGTACGAACAACTGGTCGCCCTGGAGAATAAGTTCAAGACCACCAGATACCTGTCGGTCTGCGAACGCCTGAACCTGGCTCTGTCCCTCTCCTTGACGGAGACCCAGGTCAAGATCTGGTTCCAGAACCGTCGAACCAAATGGAAGAAGCAGAATCCCGGGCTAGACGTGAACAGTCCCACGGTGCCCACCACGCCGCCTCATCCTCCGCCTTACGCGCCAGCCTTCCTCTTCGCCACGCATCCTCATCAGCACCCGCTGCCACACTCGCACACGCACCCTCACCCACACGCCCACGTCCATCATCCGCCGCCCGTGCCGCCGCCGCCACCTGGCTATTATCACCCTGCCGCGCCACCTTATCCTCCGACAGGGCCGACGTTCTTCGGTCATCACCTGTCCGCCACCCCCGCCACGGCGTCCGGCCCACCGCCCACCTCCACGCCATCCTCCACGGGCCTGGCCCTGTCGACGCATCCACATCCGCACACGCATCCGCACGCGTAGCGAACTCGACAATCCATCGCGCGGACGTCGTCTTCGCCTTCGTAGTCGTCGAGGTGCTGCCCGATTCGACGGAGAGAAGTGCAGAGAGAAAGAGAGAGAGAGAGAGAGAGAGAGAGAGTACGACTGGTATGAAAGAGATCATTGTTATATATGTTTCTGAAAATCGATCGCGTCGCGACGCTTTCTGCAGGTGGATATCTCGATCGATCAGCGATGCCTCGATAGTAGACCAATCCCTATCTACCCGCTCATCCTCCACGATGTCAGTGAAACGTGCAATATTTTCTGATTAACTTTTACAATTTTCCAATTTCCCTTTTCCGTTCGTGAAAATCCTTTTATCGTACTGCCGAGATTCCCCGAGATCGAGGTAGGACTTGAAACGTCAAACGCGACGTACTACGTTTAATTATCGGTATCTCGTGAACTCGATATCGTCTCTTCGAGTCTAAACCGTGTCACATTCGGTCTGGTTTTAATCGCAAGCGTCTCACCACCGTGTCTTCGTGTCGTTCCACAAAACACGGTAGTTTAAATTTCCCGGGACTCGTCGGGTCGGGTCAGTTTGGAAGAATGGCGTCTATTATCGAGGCAGGAATGCGTCTACTATCGAGGCACCGTGGTAACGAGTTCGGATTGGGGGTGAAGGAACGGGGATTGGCGACTGGAGCTAGGAACCGGGGCGTGTAAGATGCTGTATGATAAGGGGTCGAAGTTTACGAGTCGCTTTAATCCGCGTCGCGTGTCTCCTGCGGATCTCGGCCATAGCTTATTTGTAGATACGTCTTTCGTTGTCCCGAGTGTCGGATTCAGCGAGGTCTGCGCGAGTCAGCGTCGCCTGAGTGTAAATACCGTGACATAGTCCGCCATGCTTCTTCACCCCGCCGCAGTTGTGTGAGTCGAAGTGACTCGGGCCGATTTTCGTCAGCCTGTCCGCGCTGTTTTTCCGCTTCGCGTGCGTTGATCGCGGCACGTGGGCCGCCTCGATAGGGTAATCGGTTTACGCGGGGTGACGTGCGGAAAACGAGCGTATCTCTTGGAGGATATTGTCGGGTCGTTTAAAATTCGCCGGGCGAGCGGGAGGGAGGGGAATCCGTGGGCCGAGCGGAAAGATAAATACGCGGTGATACGCGGCCGAAGAATAACAGGCGCTCGATTACAGCCCCGCGCGTAAACCACCCCTTTCAGTCGGGTATAATTAAAAAATTAAACGGACGCAGCCGGCTTATTTCGACGTAATATCCGCGATGATGTTTGAACGAGCAACGATGACTGCGAAGCGTGGCCGTGAACGGGGAAAGCGAAGGGAAAACAGACGAGAGCGAGGGAAACGTGGAATTAAAAGGGTGGAATCGAAGCTGTACTTCTCGTCGTTTTTCTCGCCACCATTGTAACATATGCCGTTGGCCTCTGCGGAAGAGGAAGGCCCCCTTCCCGGTCTAAAAACCAGGCAAACTTCATCGAGGATGGGCAAAAAGAGAGGACGAGGAGGAAGATGAAAAAGAAGAAAACGCTCGTAGCTGTAAGGTGTGCGTGAGGGTAAACCGGGAGAGAAAGGGTTACCGGAGCGGGTGTGTCTGTGTTGCACGTCGCGAGTGAATGAGCGCGAAAGGATTTAGCGAGCAAATTTTTTGTGCTGAACTGCAAAAAACTGAACCACGTCGGAACGCAGTGGAACGTTCCTGTGTAAAATAAAATACCGTACGTTACACTCGTAAGCCTTTGCCAGTAAATACACGCAGATTATCCCATACAGCATACGCGCCGGCCGACGAAAGATCGATCGCGTCTGTGTCCGATGCAGGTGCAGCTGCAAATCGAGCATACTTTGCGTATTATGCTCGCTGCTTTCGCCTCGATGGTACCACGGGACCACCGTTCCCGTGAAAACCCTGCATTCCTCTGCGCTCGCTCGGTCATCTTGTCCCACTCCTCGACACCTCCAGTCACGATCATTCAACCTCGCTAAATATCCTAAACGTTTCGCGCTACCACCGAGTAATATCTCTCCGAGGCCACGCGCTAGCTCTCGAGTAGCCATCCTTCTTTGGGGAGCCAAACTTGCGACTATCCGAGTCTTGGAGAACCTTGAACGTGTCTCGTAGGTCAGACCAACGCCGGCTTTTTCTCGATCGAGCCGTGCGACAAGGTCGATCTGGGTGTCAAACGAACGCCGACACTGCTTCGGATACGCCATGGCCGAAATTTTCTCGGAAACGGAGAGGCGACGAACACCGAGGACGCTAAGAGCCATTAGACGGCCGAACGGCGAAGGAATATTCCGCGCTTTGAACGGCCGCTCGTCCAAACTCATCCAGCCTTCCACGCACGGTTCGTGATGTACAGTGGCTGCTTGTTGTCACCCGTCCCAAAGGCAGCCACGTTCAATTGACGGAAAATCGCTCGCGCCTTGCTTTGATGCCGAAATTAGAAAGCGCGAGCCGAGGCAGGCCTCTGATCCGCGTCTCCGTCGCGGACAAAGGCTTCCTCCGGGACAATGGCGGACGTTTGACGCGCAGAAATCGGTGTCTTCGCGGTTCCACGCTAGAGTTCGCTTCGATCGCTTCTCTCGGCTCTGTTTCTTTCGACTCGTTGAGTTAGCGACGTGTTCGAGGCGATCGCTATCTAGGCCTGTCATAAGTAAATTATTTATCAAAGCTCAAACAACCGAGAGCAAATCGATAGAAGAAAACTGTTCGAAGTCGGAGGAAAAATCGACCGTGATGTATACTCGGTTTCGCGGGAAAAGATCCGAAGATAGCAACCGTGGAAAGTTTCATTGACACGGAGCCAGATTGGCGGCGAAACGCGTTCAACGGCTAATGAAAAAATGGCGGCTGGTCGATGAACGTTGCTGGGTAAAATATCGTGGGAAGCTTTAGGGACGGATCGCTATCAGTCATCGGCGTTAATGAGAAGAATATTCGGAATGGCCGGTGCAAAGCGTCGGTGTCCGATGGAATTTTTCGACGGGCTGGTCCGATCCGACAGCGTGAAATATTTTTATCGCCGTTGTTCATGGTCCCGGGAGCAGATGCGCGTAAATCAGTGCGGAACACTACACGTCTGCCGCAGAAGTCATCGCGATGCCGCGCTCGTCTAGCGCAAGCCGGTATAGGCATTAGAGGAATCAGTGAAAAATCGGGGCTGGAGGGTCAGGAAAATTAGCCTTATCGAGGCTCACGGGTCCGTTGAGCCGTAGACAATGAAGAAGTCCTTGTACCCCACGCCTCTGTCCTCCGTTTCGGGCCTCCGTTGCTTTATCTCGACCCTTGGAAACGACGGTGCTATCGAGCCAGCAGCCCGGAGGAAGTTAGATCGACGCGAACGGTAATGCGAAAGGAGAGACGAAAAGAAAGTGGCCGTGGGTTAGGGAAGATGATCCGAGGGAGGTGAAGGCCGGTGGAAGAGAGCAGAAGAGGCGGCTGTCGCTCGGCCGCCGGACGATTCTCTCGAATTAATTCTTAGGGGTGGATTTGGAAAGGGGCTGCCACCGCTGCCGCCGCCTGTAAGGGGTGTGAGTGGAGCGAGTGGACCGTGAAATAACCAACCCCCGCGCGACACTCGCGCACCCCACGATCCGAAGCCCCGACACAGTGGCGTAACCTCGTCGGCGGACGCCTCTTCTCTCTGTGCCCCGAGATTCTTTCTCGAGCACGCTTAACCTCGCCGCCGAGAACACCCGTGTAGACCGGTGGCGCTAATTAACGATCTGTCTCGGGACTCTTAGTGCCCCGGACCCGCGTATTTCCGGGCTACCTGGCTCATTAGCGACGCGAATTAACGATTGATCGATGTCTTAAACGGGGGGCAGACTGCTGCAAGCCAACAATTCTTTCTGCCTCGCGTTCCATCGGGATTGATCTGTGTTATAGGGCTTTGTAGGAAGGTAAGACAATTTCGAATCGTAGTTTCTTAATATCGAGAAAATCGAGAATTTATTTTGAGCCAACGCGTAACATGGTACCTTGTCTATTTATTAACTCGTTCTCATCGTAATTTATGGTGTCATTTTTCTGATCGTTATCAGCCTAGCAATTCTCAATTTCTTCCTTTCATTTCCTTTTATGTATCAGGCCACACGGTTTCTTATCGCGAAGTAGTTGGCATGTGTACTTTCCTCCATTTTGGAGAACCTCGACGAATCGTCGAAATATCGCGTTTCGTAATGCCTTGTCCAATATTTAAGAAGTCTGATCTACCTTAAAGCAGAAAATCCGTATCGACTGGATGGTTGAAGGATCCAAGACGGTGACTATTAGCAGGAAGCACGAGAAATCGTGCACTCGCGATTAATTTCGCTAAATATTAACCTAGGTGGGTAGGAGGAGCTTGCCTCGGGAGGGAAGAGGTTGTAATAAATTTTGCTTTCATGGTTAACTAAAGCACGAAGACCGGGTAAATTCTCGGTCCCGGAGGCGCGTGTCCGCTTAAATCCTCCCGGCCGGCTCGTTATCAGCCGCGAGAAATTGCCGTGAAAAGACACACCGGCGGGCAGGAAGTCGCTCTGGCTAGAGTTACCAATTATCCACGGTCAACCGCCTATTCCCTTTGTCCCCGCCTTCGGCAGCTTCCGGTGCGCGTAGCAGCCGGCGTTGCTCGTACACCGATCCTCGGATTCGTGTACGGATTAGCAGTTTGAGGTCGTGGAGTCGCACGCATCGGGAGCAGCAAGGCACGCCACTGCAGTCAGCCTGTTCCACTTAAGCGTGTAATAGCTCAATAGCTGTCGTTCCCGTGTCTGCGAATACGACGAGGGTCACCACTGCGCGTGTACGCCACCGTCCGTATTTATAGTCTCGCCTCCGACCGAAATACTTGCCCGAAAAAGATCGTTCTCGCGCCACGATTCGCGGAATCGCACCCGAACACCCGGTTAATTGGCCCACGCCAGCTTAACGAGGCTGCCCTATCTCGAACTTGCTCTTCCGTCCACGGAACAGACTTTCGTTGCAATCCTTTAACGCGTCCACGATATCCGCGTATCGCACAGCAGGTCACAAGGCAAATTTCGGTATTCTGAAATTGTATAGTTATTC